GCCCCCCGGCCGGGACCTCGGCCCCAGCAAGCCGGCCTCGGGCCTCGGTTTCCCCGTCTGGAAAATGAGTGCAAAGTCCAAGCTGCACAACGTCAAATTCCAACTCCAATTACCTCCGCGGTTCCGCCACGGGAGGCTCCGGTGTGGGGGTGTGTGGCCACTGCGGAGTAAGGAACCACTCGAGGGGTCATTTCCACCCTGGGACAGGCTGAGTAAATGCCGGTCTGCTCATAAGTATTAACCGCCAGGATGGCAGGGGCTGCGCGCGCCCCCCCCAGAGGGCGGCCCCATACCATTATAGGTACAAGCCAACTAGAGGCACAAGAGTGACACAAGGGACTTCCACTCTCTGGGAATCTGTATCTTCAGTCTGAAAATTGGGGATAATGGACACCCCAAAGAATTGCTGGGACTCAGTAAATGAAATGTAAAATGCTTAAAATAGGGACTGGCTCAGAGGAAGCCTACCTAACGCTTTGTTACACAGGTTCATGTGGACGACTCCCAGTCACCTTTCTCTCCCCCAGGTCTCAGGTGACCCAACTGACCCCCACCCTCTCCTGCATTTTCCCCTTCCATCCATCCATTCTCCACACAGCAGCCAGAGGGAGCTTTAAAAGATGAAACAGGACATATCACTCCCATCTCAGACTAGTGACTCCTTGTCCCCTGAATAAAGCCCAAGACTGCCAGCGTGCAGTGACTCACACCTGTAATCCTAGCACTCTGGGAGGCCGAGGTGGGAGGATCGCTTGAGCCCAGGAGTTCTAGACCAGCCTGAGCAAGAGCAAGATCCTGTTTCTACCAAAAAATAGAAAAATTAGCAGGGTGTGTTGATACACACCTGTAGTCTCAGCTACTCAGAGGCTGAGGCAGGACTGCTTGAGCCCATGAGTTTCAGGTTGCAGTGAGCTCTGATGATGCCACTGTATTCTAGCCAGGGCAACAGAGCAAGACCCCATCTCAAAAAAAAAAAAAAAAAAAGCCCAAGACTGAACTTTTTCCAGCACCACTCTGGCCACACTGGTTTCTCTCTGGCCCTCTGTGCCCTGTTCCCTCCTGCCCCAGGGCCTTTGCCCATACCAGTCTCTACTTGGTGTGCTCCTTGCGGTTAACTCCTACTTACCCTACAGCTCTCAGCTCAAGCATCATCTCTTCCAAGAAGCCCCTCCTAATTTTTTCATTTGTACAAATCTCTCAGGAGAGCTCCATGAGAGGAGAGAACACATATGTACCCAGAACTGGAAAGCACCTGACACAGAACCAGTCCCTTGTATCTGTTGCAAGTTTACTAATGCCCAGAAATGTCTGCAAGAATGCAGCAAACTGATGAGAGTGGCCTCTGGGGCTGGGGAAAGAATTTATTCATTACTTCGCACTTAGCTAGCATTCCTGACTTTCTACAAAAATATTTACTGTACTGGTTTTTAAGTTAGGACCAAGATGGTGACGAAGCCTACCTTTCTTAGGATTATGGGGCTCAAATCAAAGTAAATCAGCCAGGGACAGGAAGGGAAGTGGAGAATGGCCATTTTCCCAGCAACCTTGGTCCCTCCCATCCCCAGATTTGCTCCCAAGAGAGTCCCAGAACCCAGCCCAAACATCATCAAAATATTTATTAAAACCAAAGCAAGAGGGAACAGCGCTGTTAGGAAGCAAATCAAAGTGCAGATTGGAGGGTGGGGCAGAGTAAAGAGGGGGGGTGCTTTAACACCACAGGAGGGGCCCCTCGCCACCCCTCCTGCCCACCGTGTCAGTGAAGGTCCCCCACTCACCTCTCCCATCTCGTATCCATCCTGGGGGGCAGCTAAAGTGGCCCCCTGGAGAGGGCCCACCCCACCATCCACCCACTCATGGCTGTCAAGTCAGTCTCCCTCCCTCGCTCGCTTTCCCAATAAATAAATCGTTCAGGCCTCAGCTCCTTCAGGGTGGGGTGAAAGAACAGCTCAGGGACCCCTGCCCTAGCCCAGGGGTATAGGGAGTCAGGGTATGAGCCCCACACTCCTACCCTTTGCTGGTTCCCAGGCTTGCCAAAGAGGCCTTGATAAATAAATAACGCTCCATTAAAGCTTCGATCAGAAAAACCTTTAAGACAGAAGTGCTCTCGCTGTCCTGCAAACCCAGCCAGCCAAGGCCTCCCCGCCAGGCCTGGTCAGTGCACAGGAATCTGGGAGCAGGTGGCCACCCTGGGCCTTGTGGGGCTCCCGGAGCAAAAAGACCAAAAGTGCAGTTAGAGCCCCCCCACTTGCACACGTAAACTCATGCACACACATGTGGACACACTGGGGCGTGTCTGCAGTGCACACACAGATGTGTTCACCTTCATTCCCCGGTACATGCACACACACATGCTCACACATCACACTCAGCCCAGCCACACACGTGTAGGGTGTTGAGTGCATGCACATACACACCACACACACAGAATCCTTCCCTTCCAGGCTTGCTCAGCCTTCTGGCAGTAGCCAGACCCCAGAGCTAGACGCCACTGAAGATAGGAAAGAGGAGTATAAATTAAACGTTTCCAATGGGGGGGGGAGGGAGGACGGCCAGGGGGAGGGGGCTCCAGGGCTGCAGACACTGGGTGGGCATCTCAGGAGACCCTGGTCCCCCTAAGCCCCGTCAGAAATCCAGGGGGGTGAGGTCCCCAAAGTCACAGTCGAAGAGGTCTCTGATGCCCTCACCCTCCTCAAGGCCAAAGTGGTAGTCGAGGGCCTCATGTGGGGGGGAAAGGCTGATGAACTCCTCAGGGAGGAGGCTGGAGAAGTCCTCCCGCACATGCTCCAGGAGCGAGTCGGCCGCCACCAGCGGGGACAGGCGGTCCTCGTCCACAGTGGCCCGCAGGCCACCCATCCGGGACAACAGCGGTTCTGGGGAAATGGGGGAGCATCACAGGCCAGGGACGCCCCAGCAGGGAGGACAGAGGGGGATGTCATGCCTGCCCACCCACCCTGAAGAGGGGCCCTGCCCCACCTACCCTTCACCCACCTTGCTCTAGGCTGAGCAGGGACTGGCCAGGATCCGTGGTGGGGAATGAGGAGGGAGATGATGGTGGTGGCACTGTGGTGGCAGGGTCAGCTGCCCTGTCTTCCTCCCCAGAAGCTGCCCCCTGGGACGAGGTATTCTCAGGGCTGATCCCGCCCGCACTCTCCTCAGGGCACAGGAACACATCGATGGGGCCTTGTTTGCTCTTAAGGGAGATCTGAAAAGTCTGGGTGGAGACAGCAGACAGGGTAAATTAAGGCCCCAGGGACCACCAGCCCAACTCGTCCTGTGCAGGCCTAGAGTCCCTGGTCTCACCTCTGAAGAGTCCACAGCTTGGAGCTGAGTCTCAGGAGGGGCTTTGATCACCATCACCATCTGCTCTGCAGGGTCTGCAATGCTACGAAGGTCCTGGCATGTCACATAGGCCAGGGTTGGTGGAGTCAAGGACCACACGACCTTTGACCCCTGGGGGCCACTCACCCATACAGCTCACAAGTTGGGACCCACATCTGTCTAGTCACTCCTATCTTCTCAACCTCCCACCTGCTAAAAACCTACCTCATTCCCCTGAGCTTCAATTTCCACATCTGTACAATGGGACATTTCTACCCTTCTAATCCCAAGGTAATGATGACAGCTGCCTGCAACAATTCCACATAAAATGGTCAACACAGGCCAGGCAGGGGCTCGCACTTGTAATTCCAGTGCTTTGGGAGGCCATGACAGGAGGATCACTTGAGGCCAGGAGCTCAAGACCAGCCTGGGCAACATAGTGAGACCCCGTCTCCACAAAAAATAAAAAAATTAATTGGGCATGGTGGCACACACCTGTAGTCCTAGCTACTCGGGAGGGAAGCAGGCTGGCCTTGAACTCCTGGGCTCAACTGATCCTCCCACCACAGCCTGAGCAGCTGGGATTATAGGTGAGCGCCACCACACCCACCTCTGGAAATTTAATTTGACCTATGATCTTGGTGTCACTTGATAGTTGTGCCCAAAATTCATAAACACAATTTGGGTATCTACTAAAAAGAAAACATTGTAATGAAGTTCTTATTTTTATGAATGAAAGATGTCTCCTAAGTTTGAAGCTACAATTATGTACTGATTCACTGCACTAAATGTTATTGCTGGTACTAGATTTTCTTTTTTAACCTGCACGGTTTCAGGTTGGATATTATTATCCCCCTTTCATAGAGGAAACAGTCCTAGAAAGGCTAAGTTAGGTTAACTTGTCCAACGTCATACATGAGTAAATGCTGGGCCAGGACTTGCATCCAAAGCCAGAGTGCTCTCCTGAATCCAGAGCCCAGGGTAGCCTCTCTGGTCCCACTTGGGTGGGGCCCCCGCCTGCCAAGCCACTTTCTGTGCGCTTCAGCCAATCCAAGGATATCGCTGGCTGTCAGAATCCTCGGAAAGCAGCTGCAGCTGTGTGGTGCAGATGTGCATCAGGTGATCCAGCTGCTCCTCGCTCTCCTGCAGTTGCTTGATGTCCTGGGTCAGCCCTTCAAGTCGCCCACCAATCCCCACTGTGGCATGGCTGCCCCTGTGGGGAGGCACCAGGGAGGTTAGCAGTTCCTGGCCCCTCTGCCCAGGAGCCCTGGCTCTTGGGACTGAGTCTGCTGCCACTCCCGTTCTGTGAGACCCAGGCACACCCTTGTCCCCCTCTGGGTCTGGCTCCTCAGTTGGGCTCCAAATCAGGCTGTCATGGCTTTAAAGTCTGGCCAGCATGTCTGCAAACACCTACGTGTCCCTCATAGGGGGCTGGAGAATTAGATGATGGCACAGACACACCACAGAGTACTACAGTTGTATAAAAGGACAAGAATGCATCGGAAGCACACACATGGAAGCATTTCCAAGACATGCTGTCA